GTGGGGAACACATCCTCCATACTTGCAGATGGAAAGCTCCCTCCTCTGCTGCTGCTGTTGTCTCAGCAGTCGTTTGCTGGCTGACTGTGTGTCTCTGGAGAGGATTGTTTGGTAGCCTCAGATGGGAGACAGGTGTTTGATCGTGGAGGGCACAGGGCCTTTGGAAAAAAAGCAAACGGGTACTGGAACCTTGCTTTTTTAAGAGCAGAAAAGGGAGCAATACTTTTAACTCTCCCTTCCAAAAACGCCAGGCAGAAAACTCTTGAGTTCATTCTGAAAGGTTGCTATCTCTGCATAGCATTTGTTGGCTTTTAAAACGCAGGCGAGGGCAGATGATGTTGGTCCGCTGTAAATTCTGTATTAACACATTGAGATTACCTTGACTCATATGGCTGTGTCCCCATCCTGGGAACTGCTGGAGGAGGTGGCTGTTTTCCTTCACACTGTGGCTGTCGGTTAGGAAAGACTGCATAGGTGCAGTCAAGGTATAGAAAGGCTGTGTCTCACCTGAGGTCACACAGAAAAAGGAGTTGAGGCCATATCTCCTGACCTCTTTTACCTAACGTTGCGAGCACTGACTTTGTTACTAAGTAGTTTGAAAAGCTGGAAATTTCTTACTCCTGAAAAGAATTGACAACACCCGAGAAAAATTCTGATGGCCCTCCTTGTGTAAGCAGCGGTGGGGGATTGCAAATGGGCATCCCACTTACAAGAGAAGCAGCAAAACGTGGGGCCAGGGAGAGCGGTTTTGAGCTCCAGATGCAGAACGTGGCAGCTCCAGATGTAGAGGCAGTGGTTTGTCCTCCCTTTCCGACAGCGGAAGCAGTCCTGTCTCCACAAGGACAAGTTCTGTTTCCTTTGAATGCTCCCTCCTGGATGTGCACAACTAAAGCGAGTAGCAGTTGTTAGCGATGAATTTGGAAGTTCCCGGTGGTCATGTTGGTTCTTCCCTGAGCTGTGCAGCACTCCGGGGTTCACAGGGATGTCCTTGTGCGCCAGTGTGGCAGTATGGGGACAGCTGGGGGAAGCCTCCGTCTTCTGGGAGGTTCCCAGCTGTGTCCTGTCCTTGTTGCCACGGACCAGGCTGCCCCCAAGGCTTGTGCTCTAAAGCTACTCCTGTGCTGCAGGGATGCAGTATTCCCAGGGGAAGCTCTAGCACGTGGCACCGGTCCTGATGCAGCAGCACTGAAATGATTTTTGGACCCACAGTTCAGAAAAGGCTGGGGCAAGAGGACAGCTCTGGCGAACAGAGGCCTCGGCCACCAAAGTATGGAGCCACAGTGGTGCCCACGCTGCCTGTGAGCGGTGCTGGTGACTCGCGCACCCACACCACTTCACTGAGGTAGGAAACCAGCTGGACAGTGTCCGCCGGCCATGGGCACACCAGGCTCTGTGGCTGGCATTTGGCTAAGGGATGCTTGGAGCTGCTGCCTGCATGCAGGGGGACTTTTCACCAGGGACATTTCACCGGGGCACTGCTGACCGTGCCAGACTTCTCATTCACTTCCCCAGAATGCTTTCTGCTAGGAAGAGCTCTTTGGATCACGACACAGAGTGCATTAAAGTTAACAAGATCAACATTTAGACCACAGATTCCACAGACATGTAACAGTTCATCAGTTAGGGCCAGGTAAACTTCATAATTTGGGGTAATTGAAGGAAAAAAATAAAAAAGCCCTAGTAGGCCCAGTTCCTTCGCTCTATCGACTCTTCCATAGGAAAGTACAGAATTACAACGTTCTTACCTCTTACTGTTTGTTCTCTATCTGGTTTTAGCAGTCGAAGTGACAGTACTCGGTCTCCTGTCACCCACTGGGCCCTGGCAACATAAGGAAACTGGTCTGGGGCCTCTACCAACAGGTTCCTTTCCAGCTCAGTGCATGTTTTCCTCCAAGAGAAGCACACGTCTAAGAGGGGCAGCTACAGCTAAGTAGAACCAGGCTCTGCTGTCAGCTCCTGGGGGCGTTTGGTGGCTGCTGGGCAGCAAGGTGAGAACTGACTGGCTTCAACACACTTCCCTGTCATATCTCCACTGTGATGTATGTAAAGTATCTTGTATGTTACAAAAGGATTTTAAAAAGTGTCTTAAGGCCTGTAAACTCCGCTATTTGTTCTGAAGATGGCATTCTGTAAAGAGACTGCTGTATGAATACGTTCCCTTGCTTTGTCCCCTATGCTATCAAACAAACCATATCTGTTCTGTATGTAATAAATGTGTTAACATCAGCAAGCGCAGGGCGTCTTGTTCCTATAAAGGCCCTGGGATTTCTGCTCAGTCTCTGATAACAGCAAGACACTTAAAAGGGTGGGAACGGCAGCTCAGGCGTTCACTGTTGAGCAGTTTAGTGGCAAGAAATGAGATGTGGATTGCTCACTGGGTTAGAGCAGAAGGGGCTGGTCCTGCGAGCCACAGGGCAATTTGTAGCTTCTCCCAGCGTCAGAAATAAGAGGCGGAAAAGACAACCAGCCGTTCAGCTGCTGGCTAGCTGCGGCTGTCCTCGTGGTGTCCCCTTCGGGTGAGCTGCCAGGGTTAACACATCAGGCTCGGCTTTCAACACTCCATTTGCCAGTGTCCCCTGTCAGTACAGGGTGGTAATTCCCAAAGTCCCATAGGAATCGGTGACATTCAGCACTGCAGGAAGCGAGTTCCTGTTAGTCCCAGCGGCACATAGGCACATTCATATTTATTTTGTAGAACTGCACTAATTCAAGGGCTGTACAGAGCAATAATAGACAAGGGAGCCACCTCCTCCTGCCCTGAGCAGCTCCTGCCCTGAGCAGCTCCTGCCCTGAGCAGCTCCGTGACCAACACCTGCACTGTGGTCCTGTGCAGGCAGGGTGAGGTACAACAGGCAATGCCTCCTGGGTTACTAGAAGCACCTCAACACTGAGGTTTGGAAACAGGCCCCGGGACCTGTCCCGCACCCCTGCGGCTGCACCCCTCAATACGGCCAGGAGCAGTTTGAGCAAGGCACTGGGTGAAGTGCAGCCATGTCTGGCACCCACTTGGGTGGCGGAGGAAGGGGCTCACTACCGTCATCCTTCAGACAACTCCCCCCGTGCTGTTAAATGATCCAGGAGGTTAATGCACAGGTTTGAGGGTCCCGGCAGAGCTCCCAGCATGTTCTAGGCATTGGATCCAACACATGGCAAACTGGGGCTGTGCGGCTTTCCGGAAGGGAACCTTCACAATCAGACAAGGCTCTCGGGCTGCCCAGGGCGCTGTGCGAAGACACACTGCTTTTGCTTCTGGCTGGGCTCCCTGGGTGGACCCTGGTCGTGGGTCATTTCTTGCCTTGTCTGGGGCTGTTGGTGGACTCCATTAGCAGCGCTTGCCTCTGGCTCTGCCCACTGTGGTCAGCCTGTGTGGGCCTGTGCCCCGTCAGGGAGGGCACTGCCTGTGCTGGGGTTGTCTTCAGCTCTGGGCTGTGCAGGACAGAGGACTGGATTGTTCTGCTTGTCCCATCTAACTCAAAGCTACACCTCCTTTCCCACCTCGCTCGTCCTCGGTCTGCGTGCTGGTTCCATAGCACCTCAGTCATGGTAAGGATAAGGCACCAGCTCAGCCCAGCACCTGGCAGACACTCCAGATTTTCCCTCCCCTGGACTCCCCCATGGTTTCTGAAGCCAGAGAACCAGCCCTGGCACGTGCCCTGCGGCGCTCCTGCCGCAACGGAGGGACAAGAGCCCAACTCCTCCCAGCCTTCGCGCCTTGTCATAGGACCAGCTTTCAACTCGTGAGAAAAACCTTCCCTCTTATCCTATAGGAGCCTCCAGTGAGGAACCCCATGGAAGTCCAGGCAGCCGACGTCGATCCATTTGCTCCTGCTTGGTGATAGCCTTTTTCCTGCTGGCCGAGGCCACGTGTTCCCCTGTCCCACCCAGGCCTGCCACGTGCATTGGGCAGGGCAGGGATTCCAGTTTTTTGCTTTCCCTCAGTAAATCCCTTCAGGCTACTTGTGATTTCAGGATGCTGCAGTAAACGGAACACCACCTCTTGACTACCTACTACAGCAGACGAAAGAGCTAATGAGCTGTTTCTGCAGGGAGCTGACCTGTAGGGTTACAGACCAGAACAGCTCCTGTGCCCCCTCCTCCCAGACTAGACCCTCCCGACAGCTCCTGACGCAGCAGCAGAATCTGCAGCCACCGCAAGAAAAATGAAATGCTAAGAACTGCACTAAGGAGTTGCATTTTTGTAACGTTCACCACAACACGCTGCACTGGAACAGGTGGTAATTTGCGATTGGCTTCCAACCGTAAAAGCCAATCCTGTATACTTTGCATCACCAGAATGAAAATGATTTCTCCTATCTCCTGACAGCCATCTCTGGGAATGAGAGATGGATAGCTCTGGAAAAGCTTAGGATCCACAGTCAAGTTGTGTTCCTCCCATGGTGTTCGTTGCCACCATAGGTAAGTAACCCAGATGACTCTGCAGTGGTTAAGAGGAACCCAATGCTGTGCCTGTATTGGGTAAGCTAGTGACTCTGCATTTGGACCTCATGATGAGCTTCATGCACTGAACAAAATACCAAATTTTCTTAGAACTCTGCTGCAGAAATAAGAAAACATTTATTTTCGTTAGCAGATACATTTGTACACAGCTCTGTGAAATAACGTGATATTCTCAGTCATTTCTTCTGTGATTTATGTAGGACCCAAATTATCTGAAAAAATGTTCTCAAAAACCTAATTTTCAGGCTGCAGAGGAAATCGTGCTCCAAAGAACTGTAGCCGGATGACAGGAGCTATGCATTCAGAGACTATACAGGGAACCAAGAAGGTTCCTCTGCTGACTGATACCAAAGTTATGGAAAAAAATTTGAATGTATCTATCTGCCTCTTTCCTTTCGGATGAGGTGACTATACAGGGCTGGGGAGAAAGCTAGGAAACCTGGATACACCACACCACAGTGGACAAAGGGGTCTTCTGTAAAATGGTGTGCTTCTAACACACAGCGAGAGCACATGGGAAGCTCAGGACACCGAACAGGTCTTTATACTGGTGTCCCTGTAGCTTTTTTCTTTGCACCCTGAACGGAAGAGGCCATGACCTTCTCCAGATCGATCATTGGCTCCTCTGTGATTGGTTTTCCCTCTTTCTGCCACTGTGCAAGGATCATGGCTCGGAGGAGAGGTGGGTACGGAAGGTACCGAATGGACTCCTCTGGCACTGGGGTGAATTTCTTGAAGGCTTCCTCCTCATGCTTGGGCACCATGCGCCAGTCATGGTACATGGCCTTGTCGATCTCTCGCACTTCTTCTTCAGTTTTGCCTGAGAAAAGATGATGAACACGAGTGGACAACGCTACCGACAATAACCTCCCTCCGGGACATGCAGCAAGCGTTGACTCTCCCGTATCAAAGATGCTACAACAGGCAATAGCAAAGAAGTTTTCAAAGGATCAGACAGTGTCTTCCCTGCTATGCTATAGGGTCCCACTTCTGTTCTTGGAAATCAAAACAGAGACAGGCTGAAAGGACTACAGGCAAGTTGTTCCAATTCTTCTGATTTAAAATGTCACTTCATCTCTCTCCGATTCGGTTTCCACGGCTAAGGAATGAGAGTAATTTCTCTCTACACTGATGAAAGTTCCCTGGGAAATTCAACGTTAAAAATACCTAACACTCGTTGAATGAGAAATGTTTCAGAAACTCTAGTAAGTGACAATCGTATACCTAACGTAAAGCAGCTTTAAAAAGGGAAATTCACTCACTCAACTCCAAGCGTTAATTTAAAGCTGCCAGTAACGTAAGTTTACCTGCCATCACTCCTGTTTTTTACTGATGATTTCACCTGGAACCCCCTCACGCGTCCATTCTGTGTCTTGCTTTCCAAGTCTCACAACAGTCTGTCCCCTCGCCTGGTCCCCTGCCAGCGCGCTGTCCTTCCCCACGGTCAGCCGACGCTGGCTCCCCCACAGCGTGCCTTACAAACGCGTTCTGTGAGGGCCAGGTCCCGGCATTTGAAACGAAACCACGGGGAACTTTTCTCATCAGCAGCAAACCCCGTTTCCCAGGCGGGAAGGCTGCGGTCCCGCAGCGCCCCGTCCCCCGCTGGCGTTGCTCTCCCGCCCTGCCCGCGGGAGCTCCCGCCAAACCTCCGGCGCAGGGAAGCGAGCCGGTGTTAGCTCTGAAGGTCAGGCAGCCCCACGCTCTGCCGTGATCCATGTTCTGCAAGGAAAACAAGAACCGCTGAGGGCGGCAAGCGGGGGGCGGCGGCGGGGAGCGGGGAGCGCGGCCGGGGCGCGGCGTTACCTGGGCCGTGTGGTCCGCCTTCACCTTGGTGATGACCCAGTAGCAGGGGTCGTCGTGCGCCCACAGCCAGGACTTGCGGGTGACGGTGCGGCCCACGCCGAAGCGCGGCAGGGGGCCGAGCAGCGCGGAGAGGCGGGTCT